GAAATGAATATATTTGAGGACGACTGTAATTAACGCACATGAAACAGAACGCATGACACAGACTGTACAACTCCCTCTCTTACACCGTCATGCCATGTTTAAAGGCTGCCCATATTATGACCCTTTTGTTAAAATATCTAAATAAACTAATATAATAGTGTACATTATTTAAAAAGAGAAACCAAAAGGTCCTTTTCTAAGCTACAGCCTATGACTTAACAAATGCGGACAGCTCCTGGCCTTTAGTTAACCAGTTACTCAGCCTCACTGCTTCTTTCTTTGTTGTGATTGTCCATGTTTTCAATGCTTGTGAAATTACCGATGCAAACTCAGCTCACCCACAGTTTCTGCCTCCCACTCTGCTCTTATCTTTTACTGTAAAAAAAAAAAAAACTGTCAGGAGGAAAGCAGCAGTTGTAAGGACAGAGTAGGCGGACTCAGCTGCAGCAGCCGTTCTCTGCTCGGTGCTTTTAGCGTTTAGTGTCCGTTCAGGTACCTTCCAGATCCTCCTGCTCAAAATTGGTCCTCTGTTCGGACCGCGTTCCTCCTCTGTCCACCACTGCCTCATCGTCATTCCTCTGTTGGAGACACACAAACACAGATTTAATATTTTAATCACAGTTCTAGACAGCAGTCAGACCTGACTATGCCAACAACACAGCTGGGCCTGGAAGGGGAAGCGACATACCATGAGGTCGGCTAATGTACCCGGAACATGACACGAAATAAACCTCTGTTGACTTGGTGTTCACTCACAGTCGACGGCGTTATGAACAAACACATTATCCAACTAAATAGCGCAGTTGCCATGGTAACTAATTGCACATCTTATCTTGAAAAGGAACGAGTATCATCTGAGTCCAAACAAAAAGCTTTTTTATTTTTTATAATGGGAACAATAAAATCAACCACTTACAATTAAAGTTTATTTCTTATAGAGATGAATCCCTTGCAGCGGGCAAGTAAGTTAGTTTTTCTTCCTAGCGGGTTCTAATTTACACATATTAAAGTTTTACCATTTTAATCTGGGGATTATCCAGCTTCTACTCCTCAAACTTCTAACAATATATCACACACACAAAACGGGTGATTTACAGGCAGATTTAAAACAAATCAGAACAATTTTATTAATAAGTTTACACCATTTTTCAGCTGTGTTCTGAACTAAACTATGCTCCTTTATGATATTTCAAGAATGCAGGTTTTATCACTGGACAAAAAATAAATGAACAAAGTAAAAAAGAACACAACCCCCTGTAGGAAGTCGGTAGAATACGAGAGAGAATGAAAACACCAACACAACATTGCATTTCCCTGTGGCTCTTTCTGTTTTCCAACATTGCAGGCTGATGCCCACTCACGTGTTGGACACATGGACTAAAAGATCTCTAGAACATGCATTCAACTGATCAGATTCAGATCTCAGAGAACACCGTGAGTCCGACGTGTGAAGGCCTGCATGCTTGTGTAACACCCGCGAAGGGAGACGAGAGCGAGGAGGTGGTGAGAGGGAATCGATAAAACCTGCAAATATCCGTCTCTGTCGTAGTGCGTGCAGAGGATGGAAAACTCAACACCTGCTTTTCTAAACACACGTTGTTGGCTGAATTTCTACAAAAGATTACTTGACGGTTTTGGAGCTCATCAACAAATAACAGATGAATCCTGAGCATGAACACCAACACAGTATCGCACCTCAGCGGGGGGAGCTAAGCTGTGCACCCTGAGACTGTAAATGACGGCGCTAATAGAGGAACGCAGGCAGTAGGAAGGTGCAGTGCCACATGGGCTGGTCCGGCCACAGGGCTGATGTCGATGATACAAACACACAAGCCGTGGATCAGCGTTCCTGCTCCGATTAAACTGCCAATATTTGTTACTAAAACACCAGCCACATTAGCACGTATTAAACGTCCGCTGTGCTCACGTACAATGCTTTTACGGGAACAATATTAACGTCAGCACTAACTGACAGTATAATCTCCTCTCATTAAGAAAATCAACTCCAGAGAGGGGCTCTTATATCTTATCACAGGTGTTTTATGATCAGTCAAACCCTCTGAAAACAAAGGCCCTCTTGAACTCAACACCTTCACGTTGTTGGCTGAATTTCTACAAAAGACGACTTTAAGGTTTTGGAGCTCATCAACAAATAACAGATGAATCCTGAGCATGAACACCAACACACTATCACACCTCAGCGGGGGGAGCTAAGCTGTGCACCCTGAGACTGTAAATGACTGCGCTAATAGAGGAACGACGAAGGTGACGTTACCAGAGTGAAGAGGTTGCCGTGGAGTAAGAAGAGATCACTGTACACATCTGCACTGCTTCAGATCATAAATAAACACTCACTGCACCTCATGCAGAGGAAGTAAGGATTAGTCTTCACTAAACATCGATCTATGGGGATATTAATTGAACAAGATAATTTGCAAATGTGTGTGGAGAGTTGTAAAGCTGTCCCTCAGTCTGTATTTGTAAAGGAAAATGCAAACACGTCCTCAGATTTGCAGCTGCACGGAGATTTTTTAATGCATTTTAAAGTAAACACACGTATCTGTAAATGCAAATATGTGCAGGTGTAGGAAGGAATCTGCAAATTTAGTCACCTGAGAATACTGACGTTAGAAGATGGAGCTCTGTCCAAAGGTAACAAAGGCCTACTGACACAACCTCACCAACTAACATACATCTTGCTTGTTTAGTCGGTGGAAAAGAAAAAGTGTTAACGCAACAATTTGCAGCTTTACGGGGGTTATTTGCTGACTGTTCAGTCACACATACACATTTATTCATGATGTAATAAGTATATAAAAAACAAACGTATACATAGCCACCGACATTCTGAATCATCTGTGAAATGTGTGTATGAGACGGTTGATTTAGAAATGACTCCTTTCCTGGAGCTGGCCACCGCGCTGTGCTGGTGCTGATTACTGCTCCAGTGACTTAGACTTAAGTGTAAAACTCATCTGACACTGTCATTAGCGACAAATCCAGGCAGCAACAGCTGGGGTTGAGAAAGGAAAACAAACATACAACTGCCTTTACTGCTGGAGAGAGTTGTGCAGTCCTGTCTGCTGGAGATTCCACTGACAGTCAGTGTGTTCATATCCTCCCATTAAAGAAGGAAAAAAAACAGCTGTGACTGAAATAAGTTGAAATTGACAAAAGTAATAATAAATAAAAATGTAATGAAAATCATG